TCCTTTTCTTTCTTTAGTTACCTATAGTAATACTATTAATATCTATTCTATTTTAGTAGATAGTTGAATTGATATATATATATATATATATTAGTGGGCGTGGGAAAGGTGAGTTCACAAAATTTAAAGGTTGGAGAGGGAATGGGCATTAAAGTTTGTTAGTGAGATATAAGAATCGAAAGTCGTTATGGAATGAAATTATATGTTTTGAGGTGTTTAGGAACCCTACTTAGAATGTGGGAGGAACTCTCTTATTTTTGGCTGAGCATATTAAACTTGGCTTGCTTGTGTTGTTAGATGTAAATTCTTAACTTTGTCAATAGCTTGATTTTGCCCTTTTGCATTCCTCATGATTGTCTGAATTTTGTTTGCTGAATTTGATCTCTCTCTCACACACACAATGAGCTCATTAAGACCATGTTAACGAGTGGGAGGAAGTTGTTTTTTTTTTTTTTTTTTTTAACGCTGGGAGCCATTCGGCAAGCATAATGTGGTGGAGAAAAGGGGCCTTACTCATTGATAGTTTGATGGACCAAACAATGAATAAAACCAAACTGTTAAGTGAATGGGTGTGATGAGGAGGTTCATGTTTGGGTGCTTTGGTGTGGAATCCACAATCTCTTTACCATTTGTTTGATGCATTACTACAAAAGAAAAACCTTAACAGAAAAAAACTCTTTAACATATTTGGAAACATCGGCCGATATGAATGGTATCAAATTTTTTTATGGTGGATATATATCCATATATTGACGAGGTATTTGTTGATATTGGATATATCTCGTTTCCTACCTGAAAGACATGAGGAGAAAAAAAATGAATTGTGCCCAGAATGCTAATCTTTATGAAGTTGTTATTAATATTGTTGTTTTTGAATGATATATTTAGAGTTCCAATGGAACAAAGTAGGACGACAACGTAATATCAGCCAAAACGTGAACCATATGGTAATATTACATCTGTTTTTCCGGTCCTTGCACATATTTCTCCTATTTTTTTCATTTTTTAGGCTGGGCTGAACCACCAAGAAGTTGAGGTCATGGGAGTACGACTTGCCTAGGGATTTTCCCTATGGAGCAAACGCACAGTTTGCACTTTTGTTCTTTTCAAAATTGAAATCAAAGTCTAGTATAAATTAAAATTAGTTGCGAATCTCACTTAAATCGTTATTATTGAGAGCGTTAGAGTGCACGTGGTATGCTCCCACGAGCAAAATAGCTACTTTGGAGGATTTTTTTAATTTGAAATCTTGGGATGCATGTAAATGTCACTAGATGATTATATTCAAAGAAAAATAAAGGATTTTAAATTCTTGTGCAATCTTGGGATGTTATTTTTTTAGGAGTTAAATTTTTTCCCTTTGAGGTTGGTTGTTGCATCTGGATATTACATTTCCCAAATTTGGAATCTAAAAAATATCCAGGTGAGTTTTGCTCGAGGGAGCAGATGGACAGTGGAGTCCGACAAAGGGTATAAAATCATTTAGCTATTGTTTATCTATTCCCATTCTTCTTTACTCTTTGTTCTGATTTACCGGTGCTCATTAAATCGCCTCATATCTCGAATCAGTTTCAAAATTGAACTTGTTGGCCATCTGAGGTTTCCTACCCTTCCCAATGAAAATTTGCCGCATCCTAACCTCAACTTTGACTTCATGCAAATATGTAATCTCATTCTCTTTCAGGGACACATTTCTCTCTCTCTCTCTCTCTCTCTCTCTCTCTCTCTCTCTCTCTCTCTCTCTCTACTTACTACTACTTACTTACTTACTACTTACTACTACTACTACTACTACTACTACTACTACTACTACTACTACTACTACTACTACTACTA